GGAGGGGGAAGGAGCAGAGAGAGAGAGAGAGAGAGAGAGAGAGAGAGAGAGAGAGAGAGAGAATCCCCGCCCACCAGCCCTTTATAACCCCAGGGTCTACGCGGCCGGCCGAGGACCCCCGGGCTGCTCCGCTCGCTGCCGCCGCCACCGCGCCCCGCTCGACTCCCCTCCTGCCTCTAGAAGGGCAGGGCTTAGCCAAGCCTTGGCGGGAAAAAGAAGCGAGGGGCGGATCCTGCCGGAGTCGCAGTATAAAAGGAGCTTTTCGGGGCGTTTTTTCTGACTCGCTGTAGTAATTCCAGCGAGAGACAGAGGGAGCGAGCGGGCGGGCTGGGCGAGCTCTGTGCAGAGCCGCTCTCCGGGCGTCCTGGGAAGGCAGCTTGGGAGCGAGAGGGGCTTCGCTCGCCTCCGGGCCTGCCGCTCCCCCTGCCCCAGCCCTCCCGCGGTCGCAACCCTCGCCCCCTCTGGGAAACTTTGCCCATTGCAGCGGGCGGACACTTTTGCACTGGGACTTACAGTCTGCGAGTGAGGACAGGACTCCCCAGGCGCCGGGGAGGAAATTTTTGTCTATTTGGGGACAGTGTTCTCTGCCTCTGCCCGCGATCGGCTCCCCTGAAAGGAGCTCCTCGCGCTCTCTGAAGGCTGGATATCCTTGGGGCGGTGGAAAACCCGGTAAGCACAGATCTGTTGGTCTTCTAATGGATTTTTCTCGGCGCCTTCCATGCAGCGGCGGTCAGGGTAGCCTTTCTTCCAATCCTGTGCTTTTGACACTTTGAGCAGAGTCGTTGGGGAGGCCGGGGTGGAGCTGGGGTGAATCGGAGTCGGGGTAGACAGACTTGTCAAGATGACAGACTAAAGAGGGAAGGAAAAATCGGGGTGCATTTTGAAATCGGGTTCCAGAGGTTACTCTGGGTTGACGCTGACCCTGGCCTGTTGGACATTGTTGCTTTACTACATTCATCGCTATTTGTGTCCTTTGGGGGCTTGGACCCGGAGGTCGAGAAAGTCCTTGGTACCCCGAGGTCTTTGGAGAAGGGATCATTACCTTTTGCGTGTGGGATCGAGAAGGCTCTGCAGCCTCTGACTTTTCCCAGTCTCCGGGAGGGCATTTAAATTTCGGGTTAGTGCATTTCTGACAGCCGGAGACCGACTCAGAGGTGCGTCCCGCCCGCCAATCCCCGGCGGCGGCGACTCCGAGTTGCCCCTGGCCCTTTTAAGAAGTTGCCCTTTGGCTTTAAAAATAGGAATAATAATTTTTTAAAAAATAGTAATAATAGTAAAATTTTAAACCTGACCTCCACGGCATTGGGACTGGGTGCCGCGGCTAGCGCAGTGACGGGAAACAAAACTGGGGCAGGGATGTGACCGATTCGTTGGGGGGAACCAGGGGGAATCCTCACATCCCGGGTTGGGATCCGCGGGTGTCCCCGCGCCCCTGAATTGCTGGGAAGACTGCGGCGAATCGTGATCTGGGCTGTTCCGTAACAGCTGCTACCCTCTGCGGGAGAGGGAAGACGCCCGGCTCGGGGTGCCGGATCGCTGCGGGGTCTCCGGCTGGCGCAGTGGCGGCGCGGTACCGAGTGGAGAAGGGAGGTGTCCCTGCTATGACTTGACACCCCCCCCTTTTATTTGGCGAGCCTTGTTAAAGCCGGAGGCTGAGCTCGCCCCTCCAAGCCAGCAGTCGGAAAGAAAAGCCGGCAGAGGAAGGAAGGGGGCGCGCTGGGGGTGGAGAGAGAGGAGGGCGGAGAGGGGCGGCGGCATCGGCGTCGCTAGTGGGGACCCGGGCCGGGGTGGCGGCGCAGAGAGCCGGTGCGGGAGGGGGGCCAGCACCGCGGCGCCTCTCGCCTTTCTCCTTCAGGTGGCGCAAAACTTTGCGCCTTGGCTTTTGGCAGCCTGCGTTCCCTACAGTCGCCTGGCTCAGCCTCTGGAGGAGGCCAAGGCCGATGGCGATTCCTGGGCGTCTGCAGGGCTGAGTCCCTGCTCCAAGGAGGCGGGGACTCCGAGCAGCTGCTAGTCCGATGTGCGTCGCGCTAGTAGGGAGTGAAAGAGCGCATCCCCCCCAACACACACACACACACACACACACACACACACACACACTTGGAAGGACAGCAAGCACACTGGAAGGGGAGTGGTTCAGAATTGGGGTGCGCGCTGCGCCAGGTTTCCGCGTCCACCAGAACCGGCTAACTCTAGCGTTGCTTCCCTCCCTGTGCCCCCCGCTAGCAGACAGCCGCGACGATGCCCCTCAACGTGAGCTTCTCCAACAGGAACTATGACCTCGACTACGACTCGGTGCAGCCCTATTTCATCTGCGACGAGGAGGAGAATTTCTATCACCACCAGCAGCAGAGCGAGCTGCAGCCGCCCGCGCCCAGTGAGGATATCTGGAAGAAATTTGAGCTGCTGCCCACCCCGCCCCTGTCCCCCAGCCGCCGCTCGGGGCTCTGCTCTCCATCCTATGTGACGGTCGCTGCGTCCTTCTCCCCGAGGGAGGACGACGACGGCGGCGGCGGCGGCGGCGGCGGCGGTGGCAACTTCTCCACCGCGGATCAGCTGGAGATGGTGACCGAGCTGCTGGGAGGAGACATGGTGAGTCAGAGCTTCATCTGCGACCCTGACGACGAGACCTTCATCAAGAACATCATCATCCAGGATTGTATGTGGAGCGGCTTCTCGGCCGCCGCCAAGCTGGTCTCCGAGAAGCTGGCTTCCTACCAGGCTGCGCGCAAAGACAGCGCCAGCCCGAGCCCCGCCCGCGGGCACGGAGGCTGCTCCTCCACCTCCAGCCTGTACCTGCAGGATCTCACCGCCGCCGCGTCCGAGTGCATCGACCCCTCTGTGGTCTTTCCCTACCCGCTCAGCGACAGCAGCTCGCCCAAGTCCTGTACCTCGTCCGACTCCACAGCCTTCTCTCCTTCCTCGGACTCGCTGCTGTCCTCGGAGTCCTCCCCTCGGGCCAGCCCGGAGCCCCTGGTGCTGCACGAGGAGACACCTCCCACTACCAGCAGCGACTCTGGTAAGCCGGGGCATTCCCCAGCAGGACAGGATGGAGAGGTTGTTGGATGGACCTCTCATTGGCTTTAATTCAATTGACCCCCGGGCTCACCCCTCTTTCCCTCTCTGTCAAGGGCTCTTCATCCCTGGATTCCTGTGCTTCAGCGAGCCCCCCTCCCTCCACTTCTCCCAGACCGCCCTGGTTGTCAGCGGCTACCCCTCCCCAACCTTCACCCCCCCCCACTCCCTTTTACCTCTCCTAAGCATTTTAATTACCCTGGGAAGGGTGTGAATGAGGCTAAGAGCTGATCCCATGGAGGGTGAATGAATTACCTGCTTCTCTTGACTTCCGGAAAAATATTTGAATTCTAATGGATAAGTTTGCACAAGACCCAAGAGAAGCAATGACAGAGGCAGGACACACTTTAGCCTCAGTGCCTGGCACTAGTGAAAGTTCCTAAAGACTTGAGGAACTGGTCTTTTTTTTTTTTTTT